CCGCCCGCGCCCGCGCCCTCGCCCGCGCCCTCCGAGTCCCTGGCCGCTCCCCACTCCCCAGCAGCTCCCCGCGCCCGCCCGCGCCTCGTCTTCCGCACGCAGCTGGCGCACGGCAGCCCCACGGGCAAAATCGAGGGCTTCACCAACGTCCGCGAGCTCTACGCCAAGATCGCCGAGGCCTTCGGCATCGCGCCCACCGAGGTGAGTACCCAGGACCCCAGCCCCGGAAACCCAGCCTGGCAGACAAGGGATGAGAGAGCAGGCTGGATCCCCAGACGGGGTGCCTCATACCCAGATGGGGAACCTCGGATCCCTGGGTGGAGGGGCAGATCACCAGATCTCTGAGACGCACCTCTCAGATCCGGGGCGCCTACACTCCAGGGGCCCCTTCGCCCTCCCTGAGCAAAAGAGGAGCAGGTCTTAGGGAAGCAGATCCCAGCTCTCCCCCGCCCCGGAAAGCGCCTCTGTGGTTTCTGGGCGCAGCTGGGGGCTGGGGTTCGAGGCCGCCCCTTTACAGATGGAAGACCGAGGCCGGGTTCAGGGCTGGGCTGTGGAGAGGGGTTTTCCCAACCCAGGTTCGTGCGCCTTGCAGCCACCAGGGGGCGCCAGCAAATCCAGCACTGGCTGAGAAAGACAGGGCGGTTGTGTAAGGGCACCGAAGGGTTAAAGCTGGAAATCTGGGGGTGGAGGTGGGAGAGAGGGTCTCTTCAGGAGCCCCAGTCTTTTTCTCATGCCCGCACCCCACTCTGGGGTGGCCCCACAGCTGCCTTCTCCCATGGGCTGGGATCCTGGTAGGAGTCCCTGGCTGGTGCAAATGATTAAGTGCTCCACTACTAGCGAGAAGGCTGGCTGTTCGAACCCGCTCAGAGGTGCCTTGGAAGAAAGGCCTGGTGATCTGCTTCCAAAAGGTCACAGCCTTGAGAACCCTATGGAGAACAGTTCTACTCTGCACACATGGGGTTGCCATGAGTCAGAACCAGCTTGATGGCAACTGGTTTTTTTTTTTTTTGGTTGGCATCCTGGTGGGGCTACCTGGGCTAGCTTTGTGCCTTTCTGAGCCTCACTTTCCCTCTCAGGCCCCTGGACCCATCACCCAGGTTGCTCTGGGCAGACAGGGTGGCCGAGTGGGGAATGAGCACTGTCCTTAATTCTGCACCCCCCCCCCCCTTGGGGACAGATCTTGTTCTGCACCCTCAACAGCCACAAAGTGGACATGCAGAAACTCCTGGGCGGCCAGATCGGGCTGGAGGATTTTATCTTTGCCCACGTGCGGGGTGAGACCAAGGAAGTAGAAGTCACCAAGACAGAAGATGCCCTGGGGCTGACCATCACGGACAATGGGGCCGGCTATGCCTTCATCAAGGTAGCTGGGTGATTCTTTCCAGGTGCCCGGTGACCTGGGGTGAGCCACTGCCCTTCTCTGGGTCTAAGGGGCTCAGATCTCCGGGGAACCGAGAGGGAGACTGGGTTGCCTGATGAGTGACTGTGTGTCCCCACAGAGAATTAAGGAGGGCAGCATCATCAACCGCATCGAGGCCGTGTGTGTGGGCGACAGCATTGAGGCCATCAATGACCACTCCATCGTTGGCTGTCGGCACTACGAAGTGGCTAAGATGCTGCGGGAGCTGCCCAAGTCCCAGCCCTTCACCCTGCGTCTGGTGCAGCCCAAGAGAGCCTTCGGTGAGGGCCACCTGGGGCCCGGAGGCAGGCAGGTGGGGGGCATGAGACAGGATGGAAAGTTCTAGATGCGTCTGGAGATGTGGTAGGGAACTTCTGGCACTGTAGTAGGAACAGGTAGGTAGTTTCTCAATGGTTCTAGAGTCAGTCCAGGGAGGAGAGGGGAGGTTGGGGAAGAGTGAAATAGGATGCGGAGTTGTCTAGTTTCACTTGATAAAGTGGCTGGGAGCTTTTAAAGCAGTGCCTTGAGGTCATGGTGAGAGTGAGCTCTAGAGAATGTTTTTCAAAGAGAGTTCTAGCACGAGACTTTTCAAAGAGAGTTCTAGAATGAGACTTTTCAAAGAGCGTTCTAGCATGAGACTTTTCAAAGAGTGTTCTAGCATGAGACTTTTCAGAGTTCTAGCATGAGACTTTTCAAAGAGCGTTCTAGCATGAGACTTTTCAAAGAGTGTTCTAGCATGAGACTTTTCAGAGTTCTAGCACGAGACTTTTCAAAGACAGTTCTAGCA